TGACTATTTTTTAGTGTTATCTACTTATTTACATTGACAATATCGTCATGACGATGATGATAATTTTAGATGATATTGTGAAACACATATTATTACCATACGAATGGAATGATAAGAATGTAATAGTTGAATAGAGAAGAATGATATTGAGAATTTGATTTGATCTAAATGGTTGATTTTCCATTGTTATTCGATGTTTTGTTCGCTTAAAATAATCAAACTCAAATGGTTTCCTGTCAATCTAAGAATATTTATTCGATGAGAAATTTCATTTACATTAATAATCTGTCGAATCAATGAAAGTTATAGTTTCATTTTTTCGAATAAACATTCAATTGATCTAACAACTTGTGAACGTATTCATTAGTACAATAGACTATATTTCTTTTCATCGAAAGCAAAAAAATGTTTTTGTTATCATAAACATGTTCCACTTTGATCTATAACATCAAATAAAGATCAAACTATTTTTGATTATTATTTCAACCATTGTTCAAAAGAAGAAATCATTTCCACTTCATGACAATTTCACTGACAGAATGTCGATTAATGAAAGTAGTAAATTGTTCTTTACGGAAAAAGACATGACCTGTCTACAATTTACTGCACTGTAATTCCGAATATTGGTATTCCAGCGACCCATAGATCTTTCTAGATGCTGTGTCATGACTATCCATCCCTTTGTGATAAAGATGTTTCTCATTAAATTTGTTTTTTAATCTATCACTGGATTAAATATTTGGAGGAGTATATATATCTTATCCAATGATAGATTAAAAATTAAATTTCATGAGAAATATTCTTATTAAAAGGGATAAGGAGTAATTATATAGAATTTACAAAGGCCTACGGGTCTCTAGAACCTTGAATTCGGAATCAGCGTAATAAATTGCATAACTGAGTGTGGGTGTGAGTATTCATTCGAAACCAGCTAATACCCGCACCACACACTCATGCCCATACCGGAATTTTTTTTCAGAAAAATCGATGGAAATTCTGTTTTCAAAGAGTCAAGCATATTCTGGAAATTATAAAATCCTTGAACGATTAATAATAATGTGAAAATGTTTGACTCTTTATTAAATCGGTTCCCAAGAAAACAGAATTCATTTAAAATTTGTAGTGTAGTAATAAGAGGGGTCGGAGGGTCAATTTTTTAGAGAGTGTGATGCCGTTAGAAATTGTTTGATTATCTTATGAGATGTTTCTTAAATAAGTTGAAAATAAAGTATACTCACCTATCCCAACTGAAAATGAAATGTATGAATAATATTTTACGCATGTTTAAAACTACCTTTGCTACGTATTTGTTGATGACGAAATTGCTTGGTGTTTTTTTCACTTATATCTGATTATGTGCAGGGGCGGCAGAAGGTCTTAAAATTAGGTGAGGCTCAGTTCCAAATTTGTCAATTGTTTTAGGAAGTGGGGAGGACTAACAGTTTCTCAGACACGTCCAGGTAAGAATCGCATTTTTTGACCTTCCTTCTGAACGCCCAGGACAAATAAAAAGAATTTTTTTTTCTGGAAAAACTAGCCAAGGGGGGTGGGTAGCTTTCGACATCCCCGATATCCCGACCAAAGGGGATAGCTTCGCGAAGATTCACCTACCAGATATTAATTTTCATAGTAAAGTAAGATTTTATTTATAAAAAAATTCCAAGCCATATAGAAATGATTAAACTTGAAATTCAAAATTTCGGTGAGGCTGAGCCTACAGGAGCCAAAATCAGGTGAGCCTTAAGCCTCGCCGAGCCTACAGCCTTTGCCGCCTATGGAACACACTCTAATATAGCTAGTTTTGATGCCTTTTGATCGGATAATTCTACAATTAGTCTACTACACACGACTTTACGTAAATGAGATAAAAGGTGTCGCTATGAACCTTAAGGACATAGTTAGTGGGTTTATTATTGTCTGAATGTCTTGGTTTTCTTTATCGCAACATATAAATAAATATATTAGAAGTTCGAATTTTTGCACTGAAATAATATTCATTTGATAAGTCTAAACCATCGTGCAAAAAAAACACCGAAAATATAATTTGGGTGAGACTGAGCCTCCAGACGCGAAATTCGGGTGAGGCTCATGTCTCACCCAGCCTCTAGCTTCCGCCGCCTATGATTATGTGCATTAATGAAGCTTGACATTTTCATAAAGTAGATAGTTAGTTTCGTCAACATACATTTATCATTGTACATGTTTGTTTGTTTTTTTTTACCATATTCTTCCTCTATACGTCTTTTTTTTTCTTCCTTTGCATGTGTTTCTATACCAAAAAAAATGTACATCGATATGCCCACATGATAATGAATGCAAGTTGGGTATCAAAATTGTTTTGATCATAGAGAAAAAGCGAACCAACAGGCTTTTGATCAAAGAAGAAGAAGAAGAAACTGAAATTAGGTTTTTTAAAATTAAATTGATTTTTAATTAAAAAATTAATGACAAACACTTTATTTTTATAATTTTCCATCGACTTTAAATCAAAAACAAACACAATTTAGTCAAAAAACAAACCAGTATAATTAAAAGTTCCAATAAAATTAAAATAATCGAAATAATCAAAAACATCACTTTTTTCTTTCTAATTGTTATGATAGACTTCATTCTCTAAATGTAAGAGTCGTTTTCATTTAACAAGTAAATTCAACGTGAAGACTTATATTGTAAGAAAATACTTAAAATCAAGGCACAAAATATTGAAAACCAGACCATTTTAGAATAAGCGATTTTATGGACGATTATGATTAAATTGAGTCTTTCATTTTAAATTGATAAAATATTTTTAAAAAAAATTAGTACTTATCTTTTTGCTTTTGATCTCTAATATCAGAAAAATTAGCAATGAACTGCTCATCAAAGGACTTCTTAACTCCAATGACTCGTTCTATCGATTAAACAAAAACTTTTTAGATCACAGAAATTGATCGCGGTCAAATCCAAATGATTCCTGAAGAAATTTTCGTACGATGATGTTCTCACTTCATTCCAAAAGAACGCATGATATTGAGCTATGGACGATTTCTTCAATAGTTTTGTCGAAAAATCGATTCCTCTTAAGGTCCCTCGCGTTTCCTAATTATCTTTGTTCTGACACGACCCTTCGAACATTGTTTTACTGTTGATATCTGTTTATCAAGCGATATCTTATAGGAAAGCGAAACTCTATAAGAAATGCATTTCGATAGGCTAATGTTAACGGAAAGAGATATCGTAATTTATTTCGCATTACCTATATAAAAAGCAAGCATTTATTTCTTTTATTTATATTATAAGTTGTTTGACGTCAACATTTTAATGATGTGTTCTTTGCTAATTGTTCATTTTGAAGAGATGCAGATGACGTGAAGTCGAGGGTTTTTTCCATTTCACAAAAAGCAAAAAAAAAAGCAAATTTAGCTGATTCTGAATCGTTCTCAATTGTTGATGAAGCAATGTGTTTTCTTACTTAACTATTTCGCTCGAATAATTCAACGCGAATACTCGATATACAAACGACAATTTAAGTTGAAATAATCTTCAAGAAAGAACGAACTCAAAAATTGAGAATGATTTAGTAATTGCTATATGAAAAAAAAGTCAAATATGTTCGACTACCTTTGTGTATCCTTCTCATATTAATAACATTGTGCACGCCTTCTTGGAAAAAGAAACAAGAGTCGTTTTTGTTTTTCAATTCATGTCTTCACTATCTAATATATTGTGTTGAAAAAATAGAATACATCACAATATGTAATGTCAAAAGCTCTACTATTTAAAAAGATTAAATTTTATGTATATGCATCTTTTCCATTCAAAATAGAGTTTAGTACGACTAATTTTTGACGCTGAGAACAAGATCATTTTTTTTTCGTGCGCTATCAATTCTGTTTTTTATTGTTATGATTGATGACTTATATCGAGATCCATAATATATGGGCGAGCAATAGAATAAAGTTAGAAAGAATTATTCATGAATTGATGACATAGGCAAAGGAATTGATTGTATATCAAAACAATATGTTGTTCACAGCGGCAAAAATTAATCGTTTAGAATTTTGTTCATATTTAACGCAAAAGATATATATATGCCTACAATAATATTTTTCTTTTGCAGACTGTAGAACCTTTCATGAAACATCTATGGCATATTTTTATTTCTTTAATAAAGCATAAAAGGTGATAAAAATAGAAAATAATCAAAAGGAATCCATTGAATACTAAAAGAAATTAGTTTTTCTCCAAATATCAAAAATGAATGGCTCAAAATTGTTTCCACTTCGAAAATAGAAATTGCATTTATGCAATACGCTGTTTTTTTTTTAATAGATTTGAGAGTTTTTCAAGCTACACCTAGTAATATCTTTCATTTTTATTAACATAATGTGTTAAGTAATTAAAAAAAAATGAGTTGAAACAAAAAAAAGTAATATTTTTTTTTCAAGAAAAACTGAGAAATTGCGTTCTTTTTCACATTTCTATTAATATATAGAGAAGAAAATAGAAATAAAATTGTCTTTTCATATTTGTTGAGTAAACATTTTGGTAGTTGTTATGCTAAGTAGAAACTGAAAAACTATACTAACTTGTCAAATTAATTCGATTCTTATTCAAGAAATACAAATATGCCAGTCAACATCATTGTTACAATTCGTAAAACTATGAAACATGTTGCCACATTGAATGTTTTCAATAACGCAGCCTCACGTTCTGATCCATTTAATTTGCGTACAGCAATTATTTCTACTCGTTTCTATTTTGTTCTTCTCATATTATCTCTCATTACTCTTATCATATTTATTTCTTTGGGTAATGAAAGTATATCGATTACAATTCGAAATCCATCGGAAGCATCTTACGAGTATTTATCCAACACATATTCAAAAACTCTATCTTGTCAATGCAGTCGTACTACTATTCCCTATAGTAATTTCACTTTGATGAATGTTGAATATCATCCTATTTGCTCTAGTTTGTTCGTATCCGATGATTGGATCAATTGTCTTCTCAGTCCAAATATGAACGTTATCTATCAAGCTGATTTTCGTGCATTTGCCAGTACATTTTTTCAATTACTTGCCACATTCTGTTCACATACTCAACGATCAATACATGATGCAGTGGACGATCTTCGATCACAAACTCTTCTCACACCTAATGTTTTATCTTTTGAATCATTGGATGTTGAAGTTCAAGCTAAGAGCCAATTTCTTCGAACATCTACAGCAAATAGTCTTGTTCGATTGCTTGAACTCGTACGTAGCACAACACATACCAATACACTCTATTCAGCATTTCAAACATCTGAACTGTTACTTAAAACGACCACAGATGATGGCTTGACGACATTGATCGAAACGGGAGTTATACTTTTTCCAACCAGTTTTACGGAATGTGAATGTTCAATAACGCCTACATGTTCAGTACCAACTGGGTTTTTCAATGATATAAACATTGGTATTAGCGCGGGCATTGCCCCTGAACGACTGAATCCGATACTTGTAAACGGCATATTATTTTCATGCTACTCAACCGAGTCATTACTTCAATCGACGCTTGAATGTTTCTTCAATCAATCGTGTCTTGAAACTATTCTGCAATTTTTCTCAAATTGTAACACTGTTAATATCGATGTTCTTAATATAAATCAAACTCATTTTGCGGCGAGTACAACAATTAAGAAAATCATCAATCAATTGTTTATTGAGAACTGGTCTGCACAAACTTTGTTCACAAATTATTTCACATCGTGCGCGCCTATGTTGTGCACATATACCATTGAAAAGCACAACAGTTTTTTATATGTAATAATCAAATTATTGGGTATCTATGGTGGACTAACTGCTACTTTACGTGTATGCATTCCTGTTATTGTTGGTTGGTGGCGAAAAAGGCGAGTCAACACGCAAATAGAAGCCAATTCAAGTACGTATTTTATATAGAATAGGTTCATTGAACAATTTTTGACGAGATGTAAAGAAAATACATATTTTGTTTTTGCTTCGATAGAATCTGAATTGAAAGTGTGAAAATTGGATTTTGTTATACTAAGCTTAGAATATTCAAAAAGACCTTTCATTTACTCATATTGTTTATTGAGTTCAATTATTGATAAAAAGTTAATCTTTTTTAAGAATAGACAAAATTTTTTAAAGAATATCACAGATATTTTATTTACTATAGCGAATAGCGTCCAGTAACTGAGATATATAGTAATCATTTGATCGATTTAATGATTGAACACGTTTTGATAATCGCATAGTCTCACATATATGAAAACTTTTGAACGAAGAAGCATTCCAAATTCAGTTCTCATCAAAGAGATTTTCAAATTAGAATCGAAGTCATATAAAAGTTGTATACATGTAAACAGAATGAGTTGAAAAATCCCGAGAAATTCGAATGAAAACCAAGGATTAATAGTATATATTCTCACTAATGTTTTTTTTGTTTGTTCAGTATGAATTGATATGTGCACTGATTAGACAGCTTATGTCAATGAGCGTTTGTCTATTTTGCCTAAGCATTGCATCTGTGTCTATGCTGAATTGACTGCACAATGTAATCATTATGCCATTGCCTTCTAAAACTGGCCATACGAGTCAAAATCAGCTTTCTTACTGCGGGAAAAGACTAACTGTGTTGAATATCTCTAGGAAGTTTCTTTTTTATGGTTAAAAAAAAACTTAGTAGTGAGCCCTTTACACACCTAATGATTCTTCATGTGCGTTTCAATTTCAATAATATATATTCTAAAATCTCGGTAACAGGTTTTTCGATAATAGTTGTAAAGTGTGCATTATTGATTATTTGTATGCTTTCAAAAGCTATTATTTGAGCTGTATAACAAAGGGTATGGATATGGATGAGATATAGATCTCTGTATATGTGATTGTTTTTATCTTCTTTAAGCCTACATGTCATATCCATAT